GTCTGAGCATAGAGCAGGACCGAGTCATGAAGGTAGGCAGAGTAAGGGCTCACCTTCAAGGAGGGAAGCAAATACTGGGTTTAAATAGGCCCACGGCCTCCTGAGTCACAGCCCATGTCTCAGTTAGGAGGAATTTCTCTCCACCGTCTTAATAGTATAACACATTCTCCATCCATTCCACTGCGAGGGGAGGGCCCTCTGCATGCTCGGACTTGGGCTATTAAATCTGGATATCACAATCTTCACTTTTCCTCTTTAGTCTCATTTTCCCAATTAGATCACATGATCTCTTTAGGCCATAGGCGGGTGGGCATATGGTTTAATTGAAAGCGGGTAGATTTTGGAGGAGACTGGCTTTTCTACTTACTGGCTATGAAATTTGGGGGTAAGTTCCATAACCTCTCTGAATCTCATCTCTTTTATTTATAAAATGGGGATAAAGCCACTGTCCTGGTGAGTAGAAGCACAGTTTAATGAGGCAGGATAGATATTCTACTTATTGTGCTACCTGGCACATAGTAGGTCTTTAATACATGTTCTTGTCTGTTCATTTAGCCAACAAACATGCAAGTGCCCGCTAAAAGGTAGGCACATAGAACCTGGTACAAAGCTGACACTTAATAGACAATTTCCCAAATATTCATTGATTGATCATCTTTCCTTGTGTGTTAGGAGCCACAATTGGCCACCTTGTTCCTAATGGAACCCCTGTCATCAGTGACCTGTCACAGGAAGTAGCTCCAGCTCTGGCCCATGGTCTCTCTGTAACAAATTCTCTGTGGGTATCAGACATTTGCCTCATCAGCCCACACACACTGGACTACCCATTGGCTGATCCTCTCTCTCCTGACTTCTCCCTGTTCCAGACCATCTAATTGCCTTGACCTGTTCTAGCTCTACATTTCTGACTGCTCAATTCAAGTTCTCAATCCTGGGAAAGGAAAAGAAAGGACATTGTCATGGTTTGAGTACCACTGGTTTCTATTCTATTGCTTCTATGTGCTGTGTTATTAGGTACTCAAAACCAAGGCTGGAGGCAGATGTCATTATCAGTCCCACTTTTCACATGAAGAGACTGAGGTGTAGGGAGGTTAAGAAATTCACCTCAAGGTCCCACAGCTAGTAAATAGTAGCATTCGGATGGAGCCCAGATCTCTGACTCCAAAAGCCATTCAGTAACCCAATAACCTCTGTCCTCCTCTGTAGTCCTGGGGTGCAGACTTCATAAGACAGCACTGTTTATGCTCAGCTGTGGAGGATGAGGAAGTATGTCGGGGGAAGGCAGCGGGGACGGGGGGTAAAGAAGAGGAGAAGTAAGAGGGAGAATATTAAAGCCAAACACAAATATCCTCAGAAAAGGGAAGGCAGGGACCTGTGCAGGGAGACCCTATCTCAGACCTGCTCCTCTGCAGAGATGGAGCTGTGGAAAGGTGGCCCTCTCAGCCTTTGGTAGACTTCTTGTCGGAAGCCTTCCTCTCCAGGATCTTCTCCGGAGGAGCTGGGGGTGATGACAAGCACAGACTCATAGATGGTGGGGAAGTGTGTCCCATTCTGATTTGTTAATACCTCCTTCCAAAAACTGTCCTGCAATATAATGAAATCAGTGTAGTCATTCTGTAGGGTATACACTGAGCACAGAAATGTGTCAAGTCATGGTTGAAATTGAATCTCTACATCCTAATCCTGGGCAACACAATGACTCCAGAAGGCCTGCCTTCAAAGGCCCACATTTTCTAGCTGGCATCAAAGCAGTGAGAAGAAAGCCAATAAATGAAATAAAAATAAATAAATAAATATCAAGTGTACATGGAACATTCTCTAGAATAGACCACATGTTAGAACAAAAAACAAGTCAAAATTGCCCAGCTTGTATGGCTCAGTGGTTGAGCATCGACCTATGAACCAGGAGGTCACGGTTCCATTCTCAGTCAGGGCACATGCCTGGGTTGAAGGCTCAATCCCCAGTGAGGGGTATGCAACCAATCGATGATTCTCTCTCATCATTGATGTCTCTCTTCCTCTCCCTCTGTAAAATCAATGAAATATACATATTTTTAAAAAGTCAAAATTAATTTAAGAAGAAATCATATCAAGCATCTTCTCTGACCACAATGGTATGAAACTAGAAACCAAATACAAGAAAAAAAAATCCTGAAAAACACACAAACACATGGAAGCTAAATAACATGTTACTAAACAATGAATGAGTTAACAATGAGATCAAGGAAGAAATCAAACGATAATTTGAGGAAAATGAACATGAAAACACAACAAACCAAAATCTATGGTACAGTGAAAGCAGTCTTAACAGGGAAATTCATAGCAATACAGGACTACCTCAAGAAACAAGAAAAATCTCAAATAAACATTCTAACTTTATACATAAAGGAACTAGAAAAGCCCAAAATGAGTAGAAAAAATAATAATAAAGATCAGAGCAAAAATAAATAGCGTTTAAAAGAACAATACAAAAGATTGATGAAACCAAGAGCTGATTTAAAAAAAAAAAAAAAACAAGATTGAAAAGTCTTTAACCAGACTCACCAAAAAGAAAGAAAAAAAAGAGGATCCAAATAAATAAAATCAGAAATGAAAGAAGAGAAATGACAGCTGACACTATAAAATTTATAAAGAATTCATACAACTCAACACCAACCCCCCCAAAAAAAATCCAATTAAAAAATGGGAAACAGACCTGAAGAGATACTTTTTCAAAGAGCACATACAGATGTCCAATAGCCATATGAAAAGATACTCAACATCACTAATCACCAGAGAAATGCAAATTAAAACTACAATGAGATATCACCTCGCACCTATAAGAATGGCTATCATCAACATTTTCACAAATGGTAATTGTTGGCAAGGATGTGGAGAAAAGGAAACCCTCATGCACTGTTGGTGGGAATGCAGACTGGTGCAGCCACTGTGGAAAACAATATGGAGATTTCTAAAAAAATTAAAAATTATGAGCCAGCAATTCCACTTCTGAGTATATATTTGAAGAAATCCAAACCATAATTTGAAAATATATATGCACCCCTATGTTATTATTTACAATAGTCAAGATATGGAAGCAACCTAAGTACCCATTAATAGACAAGTTGATAAAAAAGTGATGGTACATGTATACAATGGACAATTACTGGGCCATAAAAAAAAATAATGAAATCTTACTATTTGTGAAAATATGGATGGACCAAGGGGGTACTATGCTAAATGAAATCAGTGAGACAGAGATAGACACATACCATATGATTTCACTTATATATCAAATCTAAAGAACAAAATAAATGAACAAACAAAACAGAAGCATACTCATAGGTACAGAAAACAGACTGATGGTTGCCAGATGGGAGCAGGGGGCTGGATGGAAAAGGTAAAGGGATTAAGAAGTACAAATTGGTAGTTACAAAATAATCATGGGGATGTAAAATACAGCACAGGGAACATAATCAATAATATTGTATTAACTATGTATGGTGCTAGGTGGGTACTAGAATTATCAGGGGGATCACTTTGTAAGTTATATAATTGTCTGACTTTTATGCTATACATCTGAAACTAATCCTATATAATAAAAGGCTAATATGCAAATCAACCAAATGGTGGAATGACCGGTCACTATGACGTGCACTGACCACCAGGGGGCAGACACTCAACACAGCAATTGCCCCCTGATGGTCAGTGCACTCCCACAGCGGGAGCACCACTCAGCCAGAAGCCTTAAGCCAGGCTCACAGCTGGCGAGTGCAGCGGCAGTGGCGGGACCCTCTCCTGCCTCTGCGGCAGCGTTAAGGATGTCCAACTGCCATCAGTTGGACATCCCCTGAGGGCTCCTGAACTGCGAGAGGGTGTAGGCCAGGCTAACGGACACCTCCCACCCCCTGAGTGCACAAATTTCGTGCACCAGGCCTCTAGTATAAAATAATATTGAATATCAACTGTAATTAAAAAGTAAAATTAAAAAGATAAAAGAAATCTGGAACATTGTGATATATCTTCCTTTACTCTTTTGCTCAATTTCAACTTCTTAGGATCATTTTAAAAAGCTCATTTTAGGAAGACAAAACTGCTGGGAAAATTACACAGTGTGTCCATATCTAAATGCAAGTGGCTTTTCCCAGAAGCCTGCTAGTGTAGGGTAATGTTTAAATGTACAGACTCTGAGGCCAGCCCCTGGGGTTTGAATACCAGCTCTCCCTCTTACTAGTCATGTGGCCTTGGGCAAGTTATTTTACCTCAGGGCCCCAGTTTTATCATCTGTAAAACACGGAAAATAAAAGTATCTCCCCACAGAGTGGTGTGAGCTGACATGAGTTTTAGCATCTCAAGTGCTCAAAGGGCTCTGTTCCAGAGTCCAGAAGACCTGGTTTGGAAGACCAGCTATGCTCCTCAGGAGCTCTGAGATTTTGAATAAAGTATCTTACTTCTCTAAAACTCAATATTTTATCTGTAATTTGGAATACTGATAAGATCTACCTTACAAGGCTCTTGGGAATATTAAGTACAACAGTGCGTGTAAAATGTGTAACTCATTCCTCACGGGAGGCACATGTTACATTTTAGCCATTCCTATCATGACCAAAAGAACCAAGTCACCCAAGAATGGCCTCACCCACCAGTATGTTGGTCTCTCCAGACCTTTCTTAGGACTCCCAACAGGGACACAGGGAGGTGGCCATGAAAAGTGGGAGCCACCTATATTTGAGAGTCCTTAGGGGAGGTCTCAGCTACATGCTAAGAGTGACAGTTCCTCCTCAGCTGGTGTGGGCTGACAGTCTACCAAGGCCTGGATCAACCACTCACTAACTGGGCAAGAGAACTCTGGGTAAGTTCTTCCAGCTCAGGCCCAGTCTCCCAACTTTAGGATGAGGGCACAAGAGTGCCTGCCTCTTAGGGTTGTGGTGAGTCTTCAGGGAGCTAACGCCTCTGGCACATAGCCAGTGCTCCATGCTCGTTACCTCTTGCAGGAGCCATTCGGGGGTCATTGGCACCCACCTCCAACTGCTGCAAAACGACGAAGACGAATTCTCCTGTGTGGAGTCCCAGGTTCTCTGCAGCCAGCAGAATGGTTTTCACATCCTCTGAGCTGCAGATTAAGATAATAACTATAAGAGGAAAAAAACACAGAGTCAGCCAATTGCACATGATCATATGCTTTTTAAACTCTGGCCTGAAACTGCTCCCAATGAGACATGAACTTTTTCTTTCCCTGAGCATGCTTCGGGGAAAGAGGATGTCAGAACTATCCCCAGAATATAGCACCAGCAGCGTACCCACTGGCAGATTTACCCTATGAACTAAAGTCTTAGCTGCAGTTCTCTCCAAAAATACAAGTCAAAAAGGTTAAAACCACTTCGATGCTCCCGTTTCTCTGTTTCATTGGCTCTGAACAACAGATCTGGCTTGTTAATCACCAGCCACACAGGAGGAGTTGAAGGAGGACCTAGAATCAGGACCACCCAGACTTTCTAGTTGGAATGGGGGAAGGGGAAGAGGGAGGCCATGGTACTTTTCTTCCATTCAAACACATCAGCATGCATTGTGAGGACACACAAATGAAATAAATGAGGTAAATTATAATGTACTTTTCTGAGCTCCAACCATGTGCCAAGCACTGTGTTAACTAAGGACAGGATACAGTGATGAGCAAGGCAAAAGGCCCCTGCCCTCAGGGAGCTGACAGTCAGGCAGACAGTATACCAGTGAATCATGGGGGGATGAAGGAGGGTAATGGGGTTGCAGGTGGCACTGCAGGCCAAGATCAGCAAGTCCTAAAGTGCCAAGGCTAGAAAGGCTTAGTTTATTAAAGAACAGAAAGGAGTCAGGTACTAATCCAGCTAGAAAATAGAGCCTTATGCCCGGCCGTTGTGGCTCAGTGGTTGAGCATTGACCCACAGTTCAATTCCCAGTCAGGAGACATGCCCAGGTTGTGGACTCAATCCCCAGTAGGGAGCATGCAGGAGGCAGCCTATTGATGATTCTCTCTTATCATTGATGTTCCTATCTCTCTCTCCTTCCCCCTTCCTCTCTGAAATCAATAAAAACATATTTTTTAAAAGAGAAAATAGAGCCTTATAAACACCACAACAAAAGTAATTGATATCATATGTTGCCCAGTTACTATGTCCAGACACAGTGCTAAGGACTTTACAGGCATGACCTTATGCAATCCTTACTTTCCTGAGGAGTTGATGACTATCTTCATTTTCCAGATAAGGTATCTGAGGCCTAGAGAGGTAAAGGTATTTGCCCAGGATCACACAGCTAGAAAGTATTAGAGGTTGGTTCCAAACTTAGGCTGTCTTTCCCCAGAGCCCATGCTCTGAACAATAGCCCAAGTCCAGGACCCAACCCACCTGGAAGATGCTTCCAGAGCTTAGTCATCTATAATAATAAAAGGGTAATATGCTAATTAGACAATATGTCATTCTGGATGTCCTTCCTGACGAAGCCGGGCCAGAGGGAAGCAGCCCGGGTCCCGGGTGCCGGAGGGAAGCTGGTGCTGGCAGCTGGGAGAAGGAAGGCCTACTCTTGCACAAATTTTTGTGCATTGGGCCTCTAGTTGAATCATAACACTATAGCATATGGGATTTCACTTTAGATTAAAAATAGTTGGTGATAGTGATGTTGACCCAAAAGGAAAATTGTTTTTACGTATCATTATCTTTGTACCCTGTTTCTATCTGCTTTTTACACCCAAAGAAAAATAAAGGGTTTCTATCTGCTCTTTCTATTTGTCTCTCCAACCATAAGCAATAGAAGACTCTTTTCTACTTACCCCTGGAAGTTGCTGATATATTCCTAAGATTTTCTTGCAGGAGGACTGGATCATTGTTGGTGTATCTGATCCTGGCAGTGAGGGTGAAATGGGATTTGAGTTCATTCTCTACAACCCTCCACAGCTCACCCACTCTATCCCAGGAGGAAGTCCCAGAGTGACCTCCAAACATCCCGACATGTTTCCAGCCCAGGTACTGGAGAGTTTTCTGGAGCACATCACCAAGTTCACACATGGGTGGCACAAGCTTCACATAGGTGTCATACAAGAAGTCGTTCTCCAGTTTCGCTGTTTGTCCAACAAAGTCAAACATGGGGATATTCCACTCAGAAGCCAGCAAACCAATAACCTTGAAAGTAACCAAAAGGATGACTTTTCATAATTGAGTTTATGCTACACTCAAACCCCATTGTGAGATAGCTGCATAAATTTTTAATTCAGTGACTCTATGGGTCATGCTGGAGCCTGTCTTTTGGAATATTGATGATAATGTCTTGTAGCCAACATGAGTATGCAAGACCTCAGAGGACAAGAATAACGATGATATATGTGCCAAGCACTTTGCTAAGAGCTTACACATATCATCTCAATTCTTACAATATTTCTATGAGGTAGGTATTATCATTACCCATTTTATAGATGAAAAACATACGAACACAAAGCTAACAAATAGTAGAGCAGGATTGGAATACAGACAGTATGGATCCAGAGCCCACAATCATAACTACTATTTATTCTCTTAGTGTTTCTCTCCTAATTTGTTCCTTATTAATTTCTCATTCATTTTTCAGACCTTGCTCTTAAAGGAGTTTATGGTCTATTATAGGATCTAAGACACACAAGAATAACTACTAGAGTTCAATATACCATTCACTACAGACAATAGATTTATAAGCGTTTAGAAAAGTAAGAAATTACTTTTGATTTGGGAATTAGGGATATAGAGGTGAGGATGGAGAGGTGAAGAATGGCATTTGAGCTTGACTGTGAAAAATGGGTAGGCTTTGGACAGTGTGTGTCAAATAGGGAATTTCAGGAGAAAACAAAATTCCAATTAAAACATGAACTTAATTCTACAGCACCCACTAATGATAGTTCTGCAGTATTTGTGAGAGTGAGAATTGTGATGCTCCTTTCTATTTAGGCCTTGCATCAATACCTAAGCATGAGCTACCCAAGGACTTCCACAAAATTAATCCCATTAGCTAAACAGTTACAAGTCACTGATGTCTCTCCGTTTCTTGCCCAGCTTATTGCAATCGGTCCTACTCCCTTCTTTCTCACTTACTTTTACCGTCACTGAATAATTTCTTACACACACCAAGGGGAAACTTACACAAACAAAGATATTTTTTCAATTAAAAACCAAGCATGAATTTCCTTCTTAATTTTTCTGAGCCATGTGGCTGACAGCATTAAAATAAAAAATGAGTCTCTCTACAACAATACCAAGTCCAAACGGTCAACAAGTTTGTTAGTGAGCATCAACAGCTTACAATTATTGATTTGAAAGGCGTTCTTTAAAGAGAATGTTGGCTGTTTTAATTACATGGTCTAATTACATCTCAAAAAAAATGGCACCCAAGACTGACATATTATTATTTTAATAATGCCAACTTTGTCGAGGGCTTATTCAAATCTCTCCCATCATCTTTAAGACCACCCCTTCCAATGGAAACCCAGCCAGAGTTTCTAGAAGGTTGTATACCTCTGCTGCTTCCGGGCACACTGGTACAAACAAGGCAGAAATCTGTTCTCTCTGGACCTGGTTGGTGAAGACAGCAAGAGACTCCTTGGCGCTGCAGGTTGAGTTGGTATAAGTGAACTCCCAGCTGAAGTTTCCAAGGTCTGAGGACTCTGAGTTGACCTTGTCCATGGCAATCTGGAGGCCCGCGCCCAGCCTTTGCACACTGAATGGGTGGGAGATGTTCCAGGGAGCCTGGAAGCCCACAGTGAGTTTAGCAGCCTCAAGCCAAGTCACCAACACACTGGCAAAGAGTGTTAGAACTAGTATTGGGTGGGCATCATGGCATGCAACCCCCAAACAGAGCCCAGATCGAAGTGGGGCCTCAGCACCTGCCCAGGGAGCCATGGATAGTGCCTAACACCGAAATCACTGCCAAACTCAGAGAGGCTCAGTCTCCTGACCACTCATGCCAGGAGCTTAAATGATAGTGCAGAGTTCCCTGAGGACCACAGCTTGGTTTCTATTCGGTGCCATTAATTAGCTGAAACCTTTTCTTTTCAGAATCTGTCCTAACACATCTAGAAGCAGCAGTCTTGCAGAAAGAGGCTTGGGCAGGGCATCGACGAGGTCCTGGTCATTGATCCAGTGACACCACTGACAAATGTTATGGTCCTGGGCAAAGCATAGAACCCCACTCACCCCCAGCTCCAGGATCCCTCTCTGCTACTTAACTAAGAATTATGGGAACCACTCAAGTGTGGCCTGGGCTGAAATTCTGACTCCACCATATATTAGTTGTGTGGCCTAGGACATGTTACTTCCTCCCCTATGCCTTCAACTCCTGATAGATAAAATGGGGGTTAAACTATAATGAGGTCTTCCCCTAAGTAATATGGTAAAGATTAAGTGAAATCATACAAGTCCAGCATTCAGCACAATGCCTGGGCAAAGAGAGCCACTCCTCTATGCTAGATAATGGTGATGATGATGATGACAATGATTGATGATGTTGATTTCATAATAATGGTAATTATCACTCACTACATTAATCTTATAATTTTTCTAGACTAAGTGAGCTAATGGCTATGAGAGGGTTAACTCACTCTGGCCTAGGACACTAGGGAGAAGCTTCTAATATAGCGGTTCTCAACCTGTGGGTTGCGACCCCTTTGGGGGTCGAATGACCCTTTCACAGGGGTCGCCTAAGACCATCAGAAAACACATATATAATTACATATTGTTTTTGTGATTAATCACTACGCTTTAATTGTGTTCAATTTGTAATAATGAAATTGGGGGTCACCACAACATGAGGAACTGTATTAAAGGGTCGTGGCATTAAGAAGGTTGAGAACCACTGGTCTAATGAATGAACACTAACACTCAAAGCTTGATCTAAGGACCACCTACATCAGTCTCTTCTGATAGTTAAAAAATACAGATTCCAGGACCCTACTCCAGACCCTCCAAACCAGTCTGAGGTTTACTCTGAAAATCTGCAATTAACAGACTCATTACTCCTACCTACACTAAAGTTGGAGAAGCTCTGATATAATCTGAAGTGAGAAGAGGAAAAGAAGATCGGATAACTATTCTCTACTCATCTTCCTTCAGTAGCAAGCCCCAGGGTGTGATTACTGAGCCTTAGGCTCATCTAAGGGGGCCATTTCTAACCCCCTGGATTCCTGGAATTGCTTTTCTCCCAACCAAATTCACCATAACTGCTTCGTCATGGAGCTTCAGATTCTTTCTCTCCTCTACTAGGACAATTTGGCATCTATTTGTATAGTCTCCTGAGTCTAAAGATATCCTTGATCTAATCCTAGGCAGAATTCCATGGCTTTTTTTTTTTTTTGGCTCAGATGCTTACCATATATATGTGGCCTTAAGCAAGTCAGTTTAACCCATGCCTTAGTTTTCTCAACTTCAGAATTAGTTTAACACTGCCCCTCACAGAAGGATGCTGTAAAGATATTGTGAAATTATATAATTACCTTGCACAGTGCCTCATGCTTAGAAGGAATTCAGTAAAGGAGCGCTCCCAATGGGTGTGTCATTGCATAAGTCATGATCTCAAAGCTAGGGTTCTGGGAACAATATGTTATTATACATTCTGTATCCCCTCTCCCCTTCCATATATAAACATCTTAAAATGTGTACTCCTGCTCTGTTTACATGTTTTCTTTCTCTGAGGAGCTTTGAGGTCAAGTGACTATGTGTGTCCCTCTTTGGATCCTCAGATGTAGCGTAGTTGGGGGCCTTTATATATGCAAATTAATAGTAATCATGATAAGCATAAGTATTTTCTTTTGTATTCCTAAGTGCTTACATGTGAACATGGTCAAAACCAGAAGAAAATACTGCTGATGATCAGCATTCGTGAGCCTTTAAGAAATAGACATACACTGCTGGTGGGTGTGGATAGCTGGTTTTTCAATATGCATCCAAAAGCCTTAAAACATATGGATCTTTGACTCAGAAATGCCAATTTTTGAGCTTTATCCAGAACAAATAAGATTGTATGTTAAGATTTTACTAAACTGGCTTTTTTTTTAACAGTCAAAAATTAGACACAACTTTTATGTCTAACAGCAGGGGCATGAATAAATAACATATAATTAATCTATATGAATGAAAACCAGACAGTCATTAAAAATGAGTGAATTTAGCCCTAGCTGGCTTGGCTCAGTGGATAGAGTGTCAGCCTGTGGACTCAAGGATCCCGGGTTCGATTCCAGTCAAGGGCACATGCCTGGGTTGTCAGCTCGATCCCCAGTGAGGGGCGTGCAGGAGACAGCTGATCAATGATTTTCTCTCATCATTGATGTTTATCTCTCTCTCCCTTTCCCTTTCTCTCTGAAATCAATAAAAATATATTTTTTGAAATGAGTGAATTTATACACTTAAGTCACTATGTATTAATTGGGAAGGACACTATACAATGACATGTATAGTGTTCTATTTTTATTGTGTGTTTTTTAAGCACACAAAGTTGCATAGCAAAGAGGACATACACTAAGCTCTATGATGGGAACTATGAGTATGCTTTCATCTCTTTGCTTATCTTAATCTTCATAATTTTGTCTTAATATCTGCGATAAGGAAGAAAAGTAAAAGTTTTTATTAGAAACAAACCCTACAGACTGGCATTTGTGGAGAGAAAACATGGGGGTTAAACTCAGGCAGTCTGGATTCTCAGGTCAGGAGCCGCTCACGCTGGCAAGGTCACACTTCGAGGCGCTTGGCTTACCTCTGTAGGCTCTAATTATTCTCTGTGGAGTTCAGCCCACCTCCCTTTTACCATCGCCCTCAGAGATGGAGAGAGACAGCAATCCTGTGGTCCAAGTAATGACCATCACTTGGAAACCGTTACCATAGTAACAGGCCCACCCACTTTGTACCAAGTCCTGCTGTGGTCCAAGTAATGACCATCACTTGGAAACCGTTACCATAGTAACAGGCCCACCCACTTTGTATCAAGTCCTTCATTGCTCCACTTTCTTTTCCAGTCCTCCCTCCTCCTAGGAGATTCTTTTTTTTTTTATTCTTTTAAAAAAATATTATATTCTCCACTTTCTTTTCCAGTCCCCCCTCCCCAGGAGATTCTTATGCCTATAAGTTACCGGGAGCATCGTGGTTGAGGGAAGAGGCCATGTTGTTTCATCCAACAATGCTTTAGAACAAAAGTATGTCCATCAGATGTGCAGGGGCTGTTCCTTATGTTGGTTGGGATGGTGCTTTGATTCTTAGCTACTTTATCCCAACCCTGCTTCCTGAAGAGGAAGTCACAGTTTCCTCGATGCTGGCCAGCCTGGACCATAGACCAGATATGGGCCCAGCTGTTCAGCATCCACGGTCAGATAAGATTGGCTGTGTCCAGGGAGGTGGGGTTTTTATAAAACTTCCAGCATTTTTCTAGTCCCCCCCTTTCCACTTCCATCCCTTCAATTTATAAGTCAGTGGTCTGACCGTGTTTAGAGAACAATGAAGGTTTATAATAAGTGGGTTCGAACTTCTCCAGAAGAGGCGGGAAAAGGTGTGTGGCCCACTGGAAGGGGGAGATGAGGCTGCCATGTCCTAGGGAAAGACAAAGGGAGAGGCAGCCGTCACTCCCGCCCTCCCACACCCTTCTGCGTCTCAAGGTGTCTTCCTAGAAAAGCATCAGCCTCAGGCTTCCCGAGGGACTAAAACTGTAGTTGAGCCTCTGTTTCATTTCCTATGAAATGGGGACATGGCAGGGGCAGAGACCTCTGATCTTACCAGCTTCTTGCCCTCAAATCCCAGGACTCTGGTGGCTTCATAACTAACTAAGTACACCACACTCAGGGGTGGCAGCAATTTTTTTCCGGGTCTCGCTTACAGGTTCCTAAAGGGAAGGTTACTGAAGACTTAGCACACCTTGTACACACCATCCCAGAAGTAAGAGCAAGCCAAAGGTGGCTATTACCTGTCAGGGTGTGAACATCAAACTTCCGAGTTGGTGTTCTCAGCGTTTGCAAATACTGAGTTACCTTCACTGAATATGAAGCTCCTGGTGAGTAAATGTTTGAGAAGCCAGAAGAAAGTGGAGCAAAGGTTGAACTTGTATAAAGCAGGAGATCATAGTTCCTGGACCTGTGACAAAGCAAATTCCTTGGATACAAAAGCCACTCCTTTAGGTGACCACACACGCATTACGCCTAGAAGGCCGGGATGGGGAACTGAAGAGGCTTGTGTGAGAGGAAGAGGTCCTTCCTCCTGGGGACTCCACCTGTCTCTTATAAACTTCAACCGCCTGTACTTACCCCGAGCTGCTGAAGGACACTCTTCCTCTGGCCTGTGATGTTTGTTCTTTCTCTCACCTGTTTCCACCAGGAGTGTGTCTTTGACACCCGAGCAGTTGCCTTTGACAATCTGGGGTTTCCAATCAATATTTTCTAATTTTCTTCTGGCTACAAATATAATCTGAAGTTTAGCAGGTTGGGCTGCTCTAAATGCCAGATTTCGGATCTGAATATTTATTTTCTGGTCTTTGATCCTGCCTCCCAGGTAAAGACCACCCGCCAAAAAAATAATAATAATAAAAAAAAGCCTTAACTGGAAAAGCAAAAACTTCCAGAAAGTACTGGAGAGATGGGGCAGCTGCCTATACTCCCTCTACTGAGTATACTGAGTAATCAAAGATACTAAATGATTAGCAGTGATGTAATTAGTTCTGAAGCCACTTTTCAGAAAATTTTAAGTTTCCAAAAGCACCTTTGTTCTCACAGTATCTTAAACACTGAGCGAATAAAGAATGTATTCTTGCCTTAATACATCTTTCTCTGCTAATTACATACTTTTAACCCATGAGAATCATACGCTCTTCCGTCTGAGCCAATCAGGGACCGGCCTGGCACTAAGCTTGGTGTCTGGGTGGCTTTTCTAAAGGGAGGCAGGATGTCCCTTTTGAATCTCCACCCTCCTGAGCTTTTTGTCCGGAGAGACCAGAACTCCTCCCATTTCCTGTCATTTCCGCTCTGCTCATGTTAAACTTCCCAAATAGCTCCCTAGCCAGGCACGGTAGCCAGTTTCTCTCCATGCTGTGAGCCTGGGGAACCCAACCAAGGCTGCCACACAGAGGATGATGTCTTTAAACGCTTGGCTAGAGGGAAGGGCTTGGCATGCATCCCCAAATAGCAGTGCCTGTGGAAGGTTTCTCCCACACCGCCCTGTAGGAAGCTGTGTAGCAGGATGGTTGGGACTGCAGGTTTAAAATGAGGCTTAAGTTGGCTTGGACAAGTTGTAGACTGTCTGAATCTCAATTTCCTCATTTGTCATTACTCTGACGAGCTCAAGTGAGGATTAGATGAAGTCATAGAGGTAGAATACACGCCATGGTGCCTGTCATTAAACAACAGTGAGAGAGTAGTAGCAGTTTTATCAAGGGACTATTGCTTCAGTCAAGGTCACACACTCCATTGGGTGGATGATGTAAATCTGGCAGAACAAACCATTGCTACTACAGAGACCAGAGGAACAGGTTAAAGACAGGGCCCTCTTCAAGTTCACCTGGAGCAGTTATAACATGCTCGCTGCTGCCGCCGGTAACACCACCTTTCGCTTATATTCCATGGCATTAAGGCAGAGAACCTTTGGCTTAAATCAATGTCGTCCAAGAGAAAAAGAGTGTACACCACACTGTCTTCAGTAATTTCCAGAAGACACATTTGAAAGAGTAAACGGAACAGGTAAGATTACTTACCTACTATATCCCACATTCTTATTTCAACATGGAATCAAAAAGTTTTAAATTATGTATTTATTTCTGGATTGATTGATTGATTCATTTTAGAGACAGGAAAGGAGGGAGGAAGGACAGGAGGGGAAGAAATAGAGGGAGAGAAAGAGAAACATTGATTTATTGTTCCACTTATTTATACATTCATTGGTTGATTTTTTGTATGTGCCCTGACCAGGGATTGAACCCACAACCTTGGTATATCTAACCAATTGAGATTCCCATCCAGGGTCAGAATCAATATTTTTTTAAGTTGGGATTTTATGTTATTTTATTCATTCTAATGCTCCAAATTTTGATGTGTGTTTTATATTGAAACATATCTCAATGCAGACTGGCCTCATTCAAGTTCTCAGCAGCCACACATGGCTCCTGGTTACAGTACTGGACAGTGCAGGTCTGCACCTTCCCTCTGAGCTCCCCTTCTAACCTGCTGGGAGGTAGTGACGTTTCCTTGGGATTGTGGAAGGTTCTGGGAATTTAGAGCAGACACCTCTCTCGGGGGCCTTTACACTTTCCATCTGATTCTTAAATGCTCTTGAGAAGTTTTTGCTGATAAAGGAGTAGGTTGTTGGTGTCACTGTTTTAACCTTGCTGACATCATGACCCTGAGAAGATTAGTATTTATCTGGCACACTGGGACCCCAAGGTGAGGCCACCTATGAGCACACCTGGCCACTCCAAGGGCTGGGGGGTCAGTATCTCTTAGCCTATCATGAGCCGTGGCTTGTCAGGTGGGAAGCTAAGTTTGCAAGGCAATTTGCTGTGTGTGCATGTTGTTGGGGTTGAGGAGGGCACGTTTTGGGGGTTGCGGGAAGTTTTCTTGCAATCTGTGCAAACACCATTCTTGTCAAGCAAGTGCTCAAGCTTGAGTAACACTTCCTTCCCACAAAGAATGAACAAGTGGCCTCAAGAGCCCGGGTGCCCGAGCTGCTGCTGTCAGTGACTCCAGTTGAGCAAGACGAGCTGCTACTGACACCGAGCTATGGGTCCAGCTCCTCCCATGTGCACTGTGAAGCTGCATGGTGCAGGGCTGACTGCAGAGCCCAGCACAGAGCAATGGGCACTCACAGAACAGCAGACAACTAAGCAGAAAAAGCTGGGGGTTGGGGAGGGGTGGTGCGCAGCTGAATGTGTGGTGCATTGCCCCCTCTAGTTGAGTGAAGAAAGGTTTTGTGTGGGAAATGAGCTCAGGGGCAGGAAGGATGAGCAAGCAGATGGGACAGCCTTCTGAGAAGGGAAAAGGTAGCTCTTGTTCCACCCTTGGCATCAGGTCTACGTGGCTGGCATTGGGTCCTGCTTCCTCTAGGGGCAATGGTTCTTAATTTCCTTTGAGTGACCAATGAAAGTCCCAGAGAGAAACACATACATAAATACACAAGATTGCAAGGGGTCTGTGGAATGGGTTGTACTCAATCATACATGTGTGCTTGGGCTCTGGACTCAAGACTGCCTGGACTCAAAATCTGAGTCTGAGACTGAGCCAACTGTAAGCCACAACCTGGCCTCTTTTAACCTTTCCTCTTCTGCAAAATGATAATAACAATTTTTTCACGGGGTCGCTGTGAGGTTAAATGATTATGGACAGAGCTCTTGGTGCAGTGCTGCCATAATGTCCATGATCATGATCATCTTCAAGACCTTCAGAAAGGAGCTGGCATGAGAACCTTAGATTTCTACCCTGTATGATGTACTTTGAGTGCCATTAGCCCTTTGAAACATCAGATAACTCAGGAAAGGGTGGGTATGGAATTCTGATAATTAGAATGGTCGATTGTGGCACCCTCGTTAAGAGTTTAAAGAACTTCGCCCCTTCCTTTCACATCTCAGTGGAAGAGTAAACGTCAGCTCTGCCATGTGGGAAGCTAAAGGTCGGTCCACCACGGCTTTCCTTTTGCTCTCTCTGTGGCATCGCAACCTCTGCCCTGCTCCACAGCTAAGTGTAGGGAGGGACATCTCGCCTCCTTTCCTTCTGATCCATCGTTACTAAGTTCACAAGAACTGACTCAGCCCACCCCTCTAGGACTCTGCTTCCCTTTCTTCCTGGGACGTGTTGCCTGGCTCTAAAGACTTAGCTTAGCTGTCAAAGCAGCTGAAGGTCCTTGTGAATAAGTGTTCCCTGTGCCCAGGTGCCCCAGCTCCTCCAGACACCCTGTGCTTTCCGTTTTTCTTCTCATCGCCATACTTCTTCTTTGCCCTCATCTGGGACGCTTACAATGAGCACTGTTGAATAACTATTCCCTCATCTAAGTCTAAGGAAATATTCCAAAGCAGAGGGCTGGAGGTTGAAGAGGAATCTCTGGATTCTGAGGATTAATAGGAGAAATTCCACTTTTCCTTAGAAGGACTTCATTAGCTTCATGCTGTCTGGAATCTACAAATGCCCCCCATAATACCTTGAAATAATATCTGATGCCCTGATTGATTCATTCCCCTGCCCTCCCCCCGCAACACACACACACACACACACACACACACACACACACACACACACACACCCTGCTCTAAAATCTGCTTTGCAACCAACTCTTTAAAGAAGGGCTCTTTTTCATAGACAAGCCACAAATCGCCTGTCTTTACCAAATAGCCTGGAAGTGTTAAAAAAAATAATGTTTGGCCCCACTACCCCCATCATGGTCCCGTGGCCAAGCTCTAGGATCTGGGGAGAGTGATGAACTTTTTCTGAGATTCCATTTTCTCATCTGTGCAAACTCTAACTCCCTGGCAGGTTTCCTGGAAGAGCCACATGAATTCCTTGTCAAGGGGCCCGGCTCCCAACAGCCACTGAAGGTCTTGTCCTTGCTGACACCTCACAGGTCTAAGAGATCTTCTGGAAGTGTTTGATAAACTGGGAGGAACTATACAAACACACAGTGGTGTTATGTAAAGTTGGCTCACTTCCAAGGTTTGTCTTTTCCTGCTCTCAAAAATGGAGAAACTCTGCTTTTGAAGAGTTGTCAGGCCCTATCACCAGAAGTGTAGCGACTGTTTCCAGGCTCTGTTAGAAAACTCTGGAACGTTGGCCTCTGGTGTTCTAGAACTGCTGCCTATGAAATGCATGGTTCCTCTGTCCCTAGGAGAGGGGAAGGAATGTACACAAACCAACCAGAGCAGCATGTGTAAGTGGATCAGAGCGGCGGCTACTGGGTCAGACTCTTCCACACCTAGAGCACCTTACCTATGAATGACCTGGAAAAAT